AGAATCCTGAGCAGACTCTGTGCACTGAACACAGAGATCACAATTGGACCCCAAACTAAGAGTCAGACGCTTAACCAACTGTACCACCCAAGTATCCTTAAGTTTGGCTTTTTAAAATTTCACATATACATGGTCTCATACAGTATTTGTCTTTTTCTGACTGACTTTACTTAGTGTCATATCCTCCTCAGGGTTCATCCAAGTTGTTGCAAATGGCAGAATGTCTTTCTTTTTCATGGCTGAGTGATATTCCATTGTATACGTATATCAGATCTTTAGCAATTCATCTGTTGGTGAACACTTAAGTAGTTTCCATATCTTGGCTATTGTGAATACTGCTGTAGTGAACATGGAGGTTCATATATCTCTTTGACAGAGTGATTTGGTTTGCTTTGGATAGATGCCCAGAAATAGAATAGCTAGATCCCATGGTAGTTCTGTTTTTAATATTTTGAGAAACTTCCATACTGTTTCCCATAGTGGCTGCACCAGTTTACATTGTCACCAACAGTGCACTAGGGTTACCTTTTCTCTACATCCTCACCAACATTTGTAATCTCTTGTCAACTTTGAGGATAGCCATTCTGACAGATGTGAGGTGATAGCAGATCATTTTTTTTTAAAGATTTTATTTATTGGGATCCCTGGGTGGCGCGGCGGTTTGGCGCCTGCCTTTGGCCCGGGGCGCGATCCTGGAGAATAAATTTTATTTATTTATTCATGATAGTCACAGAGAGAGAGAGAGAGAGAGAGAGAAAGAGAAAGAGAGAGAGAGAGAGGCAGAGACACAGGCAGAGGGAGAAGCAGGCTCCATGCAGGGAGCCCGACCTGGGACTCGATCCCGGGTCTCCAGGATTGCGCCCCGGGCCAAAGGCAGGTGCCAAACTGCCGCGCCACCCAGGAATGCCCCTAGATCGTGGTTTTGATTTGCATTTCCCTGATGATGAGTGATAGTAAAGCATCTTTTCATCTGTCTATTGACCGTATGTGTGTCTTTGGAACTTATTTTTTTTTTTACAGAGAAGTGTATTCTCACTTAAGTGTCAAGGCAAATGGTTTGACTGACATCACAGGGATAGATAGCTTGGATTTTGTGTTTTGGCCAGAAGCCTCACTCTTCTCATAGATACGATTACTTTTCCTACTGTGTCTCCTCTGTGACAAGAATAGGAGTCTTCATTAAAACTACTGATCACAAATAGTAAAGAATCTATCAGTCCCCCAAAGAGCAGTTTGTAAAGAAAACCAATACCTACATAAAATGAAGTCTCTTAATAATCTGTAAGAACCATTATTAATCACTGTGATATGTAAGTCTGATTTTATCCCCAGACTTTATTAGAATGCATCTTTCAGCTTAACCAAAATCTTTCTGTTGGGAGTCAGACCCCTTATGGAACAGCTCCTAAATTTTACCACTGGGTTGGCTGTTCTGGCCTTTTGGCCTCAGTTTTCTGTCCACTTAAAGCTAAGTGTTCTTACAGTGTTTTCATAGCTGCTTTTCATGGGACTGGTAGGCAAGAAATTATTTTGGTAGCTGACTTCCTTCACAGTTTGTTTTGTTTTTGTTTTTGTTTTCCTGAAATAATCCCTTAGCGATATCATGGAATTCCAGAATCTTCTATTTTAAGAAACCTTAAAGATTTAAGCTCTGGCTTTGAGAGCTTAGAGAACTCTTCTTATTGTTGTGAATCTTCCTGATTGAGAGAGACTGTGATTTAAATGATTTTTCTGGAAACTGTACCCTCTCTTCACAAATTAATTCTAAAAAGGGTTTTTACCTGTTTGATTAAACTCGAAACACTTCCTCATCCCATGTGACCGATACCTTATTGAGGTCTTGTGTATATTGAAATTTGAATATAAGCAATACCTTTGTGACCATTGTCTCTGTAGCTAGCTCTGATGTAGAAAGGAGAGTTACAGAAAGCTACTTTATTCAGGCTGTAAATTTTACCAAGTTCAGAACTTTATCAAGAACAGATCATTGAGGGCACCTGGGTGGCTCAGTGGTTGAGCATCTGCCTTTGGCTCAGGTCGTGATCCTGGAGACTCAGGATCGAGTCCCACATCAGGTTCCCCTCATGGAGCCTGCTTCTCCCTCTGCCATGTCTCTGCCTCTCTCTCTCTCTCTCTCTGTGTCTCTCATGAATAAATGTTAAAAAAAAAATCCTTGTAGCCCACATCTAAACAGAGAATTTGACTTGCTTTTGAAACAAGTAAAGTGTTTTCATGTGTGGTAATATGTAACATTATATCCCTTTATACTGTATCTGTCTTTCTCCTTTGTTTACTGCATTTGTAAGAATTTTTGACTTAATATCGAAAATCCTGGTTTCTAGAAAGTAGAAACTCCCTTTTGTTTCCAAAACTAGAACGGTCATTTCTTTTTCTTCTCCAGTTTGGCTTTACTGTTTCTATAGCTAAGAAAGAGAGAAATAGAGAAAGAAAGATGGAGGGAGGGAGGGAGGGAGGAAGGAAAGGAAGGAAGGAAGGAAGGAAGGAAGGAAGGAAGGAAGGAAGGAAGGAAGGAAGGGCTAGATTCCTATATAGTCCCTTATAAATGTAATATGCTTAGGCCTGTGCTGTCTTTGTTACTGAAAGTGGCCACTCTCTGCCTTTTATCCAGAAGACAAGCAGCTCTTAGTAGCAGAGTACAGTAGTGACTCTGGACAGCTCTTAGTTGTGTAGATATTTCGATAGTATGACTCGATAATACTGATTTACAGTGAGTTGGGGAACTCTTGGGAGTGAACCACGATCAATCCAGGATCCAGGAACAAATGCTTTGGAGAGAAACCCCAGTGAGAGCAGTTGGCTTGGTCACTGAGCAGGGCTGGCTCAACTCCTGGTACCCATCATGCTGTTAGATAGATTGCTATTGGCTGTTGGGAGAAAAAGGAAGTAGCATTTTGCTCCAGAATAGGCTAATTAGGAAAGAATACAAGCTCCCTCCTAGGGTTTCTAGGGCCTGGCCACTGAGCAGGGGGATATCTTCAGAGCTGCAGCTGGATGGGAGGGAGGGCCACTGGGGTGTGGCAGGCAAAGATCCGTGTGCTGGACTGAACTCCCTCTGTATTTTCAGTAAGCGTCCCCAGAGCATGTCATGTAAGCTCATTTTCTTTATGACCTGAGATTTGTCTGTTTCTCCAGGCTTGGGATCAGGTTCTTAGCATCTGATCAAATCAGCAACTAGATATTCAAGAGTGACTAATAACAACAACAACAACAACACTGTTTAACAGGTACATCAGAGCTGAAGTATCCAAACTGAGAGAGAGCCTGCCCCTTCCAAGTTGTCCCCTGGGAAGCTCTACTTCCAGCAGTGCTTCTATTGCTCAAAATGTTTTTTTGGCATTTTTCTTTCAACCATACATTTAAAATCTATCACATAGGCTGTTTTGTTGACAGATCTTTATTTTTAGAGGCTTGAAATAGCTAACTAAATACTTATAAATAAAAAAAAGTCATTCTGAGTCCTGCCTGGCAGATAGTGTGGGTGAATGATCAGAGAGGCACCATTTTGGGTTAAAAATGAGATCTGATAGGGGTGCCTGGCTGGCTCTGTTGGTAGAACATGTGATTCTTGATCTTAGCATTGTTAGTTCGAGCCCCACATTTAATGTAGAGTTTAATTTAAAAAAACAAAACAGGAGAGGGGCACCTGTGTGGCTCAGTAGTTGAGTGTCTGCCTTTGACTTAGGTCGTGATACTGGGGTCCTGGGATCAGGAGCCTGCTTCTCCCTCTGCCTATGTCTCTGTCTCTCTCTGGGCCTCTCATGAATAAATAAAATCTTTAAAAAACAAACAAACAAAAATGAGATCTGATATTTTCATGTGGTCTATCTTTGGGTTTACAAAACAGTCTTTCTTTCTTTCTTTCTTTCTTTCTTTCTTTCTTTCTTTCTTTCTTTCTTTCTTCTTTTTTTTTTAAATATTTTATTTATTTATTCATGAGAGTCCCAAAGAGAGACAGAGACATAAGCAGAGGGAGAAGCAGGCTCCCACAGGGAGCCTGACCCAGGACTCCATCCCAGGACCCTGGGATCACAACCTAAGCCAAAGGCAGACACTCAACCACTGAGCCACGCAGACAGCCCCCTTAAAGCAGTTTTCATAGATGTATTTCAAAACTATTTTGAACAGGAGAAGCATCATGGAAATAAGTTTCTGGATGTGGCTGCTTTGATGATACCCTTATTCAAATGTATACATTCTGGTTGTGTATTTTGTAGTCTGGTTATCCTCCAGTTTTAAGACTATCAGATTTTTTTCAAAATTGTGTGAGTAGCCATTTGAAGCTCATTATGGTCAGAGTACCCAACAGAAATGAAACTGTTCAGAAAGAGCAAGTGAGCTACCAGATAGAATGGGATAACAGTGTTAGAGTTGCTTCCCAAGTTAACCTTATACTAGGCTCCCTATTCTTCTGTGGAAAGGGAGTAGTAGTAATCAAGTCACACTGTCCACACAACAGGATCACTGTGAGGTTTTTAAGGAGGTATGGCGTATGGAGTATGAAATCATGGTGCTTTGTGTGTAGTCATGTTCAGTACAGGTGAGCCATTTTTATCATGCCACTGTGACATGATAGCTTGCCTCAGAGGGAGGAAGACTGGACAAATAAAGGAGGGGGTGCTGTGTGGGAAAGAAGGACAAGACTGGCCTCCTTCAGTGTTTAAAGTCCTTCACACCAAACCTGTTTAGTCACACTCCAGTGACATGTTAGCCTAGATACCTGTCATGCTTGACATAAGCAGTATTTTAATTTTCAGCTGTCCCCGAAATTTTTGGCTCTTTATGGAGTCCGCTCACATTCTGAACAACAAAAACCCCAACAAAACAACAAACCAATAACCTCAACATCCTCAAAAATACGGTGTTGAAGATTTGGCTCTCAAGTTGTGGAAAGCAGTTGTGTGATGTTTCCAGCTGACACGGTTCTTGTGCATTTCAAAATTGCAAATCTCACCACTCGCACTGTGTTGCCTTTGAAACAGATGAAGATGAAGATGGTGACCGAATTACAGTGAGGAGTGATGAAGAAATGAAGGCCATGCTGTCTTATGTAAGTGTCACAAATGAGGACGATTGTAACATGTTAATGTAATCGCGGGCACTGTTTCTCAGCATGGTGAAGATGTAAAAGTAAATCACGGCTACCATAACATTCTTCTATCAGATGCATAAGGGTTTCAAGGATTTCTTTACGTTAAAGTTAAGGGCATTCTTTTCAAAAGACACTTACTGATCATATCACAAACATTAAGAATAATGCATCTTAATGACTTTTGCATTAGGTACGGTGCAGACTCCATGGGCTGTCAGCTTCCTGTATTTTTTATGCAGTACTTAAAGTAACGGCTCATTAAAAATGAACCCCTGGGCTCTAAAAAATTTTTCAAAATCTACTTTCAACTGGAGATCTCTTTCACCCTTCCAAACAGACTATAGTTATAATGTAGCTGCAGGCTTAGTATGGATACATGATTTAAAAATGTACTCTCAGTTATTTTATGCACTAACTGACCCTTTTTTTTTCATCCCAAAATGAACTACGGGGTTACTTAGTGAATCAGAGTGATTTGAATATATCCTGAAATGACTTTTCTTTTATGTTTCAATTTTTAGTGAAAATCTGCCTTAGTGTTTGTCTAGGACAGAAGTAGATAAGCAAGATAAGAGCAAAGGGTACATATCTAAAACTTTAATACCAAGCTGGACAAATCCATCTCTGATGAAGAGGCATAGTAGCTTTCCTGAGCCCTGTTTTGTACTGTCCTCTTATTTTGTTTTATTTCCTCTTACTCATTTTATTTTCTTTTATCCGAGTTTGTAATCTGTTTACAAAACCTTTTCTATTGGCCCAGAAGAGAGAGCCCTGGACCTGCTCTCTGCTGGCTTGCTGGCCTTAGGCACATCACTTAACCTTCCTGGGCTATCGCTGCCTTGTCTGTCAATTGTGGATAATACTCCTCTCTTTTCTACTGCACAGGGTCATTGTAATGATTAAATGGGATAATAGATGTGAAAGTCCTTTGAAAAGTAAAAGTTCTATACAAATGCAAAGTGGTATTATGGTGGAAATGATGGAATCAGGGCCCTTACTTGTCAGTGAGACTCTGATTGTAGCCAACAGTGAGGTTGTAGGTTTTTGATGGACCTCAGCTTCAACCGGGATATTGTTTCATCGTAATGAAAACTGTAAAATATCTGTAAGGGTTTTCGCCAATAGTTTTAATTTAGGGTAGGAGGAAAGAGAACAAGAAGGATGGCATGATTAACAGAGCGTTGCATTCAGACCAGCACAGAGTAGGAAAAGTCAATTTCCCATTGACTTCCCATTAACTTATTTGAGAGTCTTTGTGCACTGAGAATTTAGAGCAGGGCTCATCAGTACCTTGAAAGGCAGAGGAGGATTGTCTGCTGAAAGGTTTAGCACTAGTATTGATAGATTGGCTAACTCTCCTGAGAATGTGACATGCTCATTTTTAGAAAACACACATACACAGATGGCTTCTAGTTTTTCAACATACATCCACTGCAGAGAGCACATTACTGACATCACTGTATTTTTATTATGTCTCTGACATCGCCACACACAAAGGTGTGCTTTAAAAAATGTGCTTTTGGGAAGATCTGACAAATTGTGCCTTTTGAGAAATGTTATTCATGTGATCATAGTGATAATAATCATTCCCATTTCTAACTGCCTACTATATATGTACTAGATGCTAAAGGTTTTTAATTTTCAATGGTTTTAATAATGACTTGATGAGATAGATATTAGCATCCCTATGTTTCAGATGAGGAAGCCATGGCTAAGACATATGCCCAAGGTCTTAGGGCTAGTATGAATGCGAATGTGGAGTTTATGTTCAGCCTCTCCCTATGTGAAAACTGATCTGTAAGAGGTGTTTTATGCTGTTTTCTCCCATCCACCTCTTTGCACAGTAGTATGGGGGCTTTCTATGTCATTATTACATTCTGGATGATTTGTGTGTATGTAATACTACAGATAGCTGTAGTATGTATTCCTTATGACTTATGCTTACTTTCTCAAATGCAGCATTTATTTTTGTGTTGTAGGAAAATATTAAGAGTTATATAATTAGACTTAAACTCATACGTTTCTGAGATTTCTATAGAGCCACTTTTTAGTTTGAAAAGAAATCATCAAAAAAAAAGAAAAATCATCTAGCTCATTGATCCCCAGATATGTAGATTTCATGAATTAATCAATTTTTGAACTAATTAATTTTCATTTTAGATTGGAGGACATAGGCATTGTAACATTTTACTTTTACATATTAATAAAATAAATAAATAATAAAAGTTATCTACTGTTGAACATTATTTTACTAACAGAGAAAAACAGTGAGAGTCATTTAAAGGTTAAAAAATGATGGGCAGTACGTAATCTCAAAAGTAAAGGTGACCATTACAGTGAGTAGATTTAGGAGCATCTGGATGGCTCAGTCAGTGGATTGTGTGACTTTTTACCTTGGGTTGTGGGTTCAAGCCCCATGTTGGGTGTAGAAACTACTTAAAAATAAAAAAAAAGATAAAGTGAGTAAATTTAGTTTTATGTAAAACTCACTATATTCTTTTTTCCCCTCATTTTTAAAAAATGAAGTATAGTCAACATATAATGTTATATTAGTTTCAGATCTACCACATAGTGAATTGATATTGTTTATCAGTTTGCAATGGATGGTAAAGACTTTTTTATGAATTGACGGTGGTCCGAGCATTGTGGTTCACTGATCAGGTCAGGCTTTCTCATTAATTCACTTAAATATTTATACATGGGAACCTGAAGTCCCCAAAGGATTTTAACTTATGTTCCACTCCTCTGATTCTGAATGTTTGAGCAAAATCTTTTTAAATGAAAATATCCCTGAGAGAACAAGCTTTAAGTCATTTAAAGCCTAAATGGATTTCCTTTTCCTCTTATCTTTTGAGATAGTCCTACCATCATATATGTGTTGTTTATGTAGAGTCAGGCTCTGAATAAACATTTTTAAAAAGTAAAGAGTAGAGAAATCATTTCCTCAAAAAGCACAAATAAAATTGGTTGCCTGTCATTTTGATCTGTTTTGGTTCTTTTTTAAAAATTTAATTAATTAAATTTATTTAAGAGAGAGCACGAGTGGGGTGGGGGAGGAGGAGCCAAAGGGAGAGGGAGAAGCAGACTCCCCACTGAGCGGGGGGCGAGGGGGGTGGGGAGGCATGTGGGGCTCTATCCCCGGATCCTGGGATCATGATCTGAGCCAAAGGCAGATGCTTAACTGGCTGAACCACCCAGGTGCCCTTGATCTGTCTTGGTTCTTTTTTTTTTTTTTTAAGATTTTATTTATTTATTCATGAGAGACACACACAGAAAGAGTCAGAGACATAGGCAGAGGGAGAAGCACATTCCTCACAGGGAGCCTGATATGGAACTTGATCCCTGAACTCTGGGATCACACCCCGAGCCGAAGGCAGATGCTCACCCACTGAGCCACCCAGGCATCCCTGTCTTGGTTCTTATGATTAAAATTCCTTTGGGTTCCAGTTTTTTGCTATAAGGAGAACCACTTGGACCTAATCTCACAATAGACTTTGGTTGATAGCCCTCAGTTGCTGATCTGTTATGGAAAACCTGCACAGTCTTTATTTTTCAGGTTCATTTTGACTGAAAACTTTTTGAATCCAGGATGTGGGTGGTGGAATAGGGAAGATATTGAGATGCTGACAGGTGACCCTGTATTTACTGTAAAAAGCAGCTTAGTTTTTCATGTCAAATTTAATAAATTTGTAGTACCCTTATTATTTCTTTAAAATCCATATGGGGAGGGATCCCTGGGTGGCGCTGCGGTTTGGTGCCTGCCTTTGGCCCAGGGCGCGATCCTGGAGACCCGGGATCGAATCCCACGTCGGGCTCCCGGTGCATGGAGCCTGCTTCTCCTTCTGCCTGTGTCTCTGCCCCCCCCCTTTCTCTCTGTGACTATCATAAATAAATAAAAATTTAAAAAAATTTTTTTAATCCATATGGGGAAAGCAAAACTAGAGACACTTTTACCAGAAATCCCTTAATCATTCTTTTCTATTGATTACAAAGGTTAAATGAATAAACAGCCAGGATGTCTGCATAAAATTAAAGAAAATTTGCAACATCTGAGTTGCAACTTGCAGAATTACTTTTTTCCCCCTTGAATACAAGCATTTTCTGGCTTTGGGCCAATAGAAGCATAAGTTTTTATCAGTAATTTAAATAGATTTTCGTATTAGACCTAAAAATGTTGCCTTTTTAATTGAAAACTTATAAATTATTTAAATTGCTAGCAGCCTTAGGCTGTTAATTTTATGTGTGCCATAATAATGGCATACAGTGGTTTTTGATACATGTTACAAATGGAGTATCGCATCGTGGTAAGGATTTGTCATGACAATAAGTTGTCGTGTGCTGTTAAATAATAACCAACATATTAAACCAAAGTCTGTTGTCACACATTAGTACCGTTTTATGTAAGTTATTTAGAAGTTGTATTCTTTTCTTCATTAGATATATTTTTAAGAGATAATGAGAAGAAAACAAAGCTATAATAAATTGTCTTTTAAGAAAATGTAAAGTAATTTGGTCTCCAAGGAGATATTTAATGTATTGAGAGAATCCAGCAGCCAAGTGTTATTACAGCACCATTGTGATCACTCTCTGCGTTTTGTTATGAGTTTGTGTTAATCAACAATCTGTTTTTATAGCGTAGTTTCTTGTAAGTTATGTTGCTAGAATATTCCACTTCTGGGATCATGGCTTTTCCTCTGACACTATTGTATCTTTTTAATTCCTCCATAAAGTATTTTTTTAATTAGAATCTGAAATGCTTTATTAGAAAAAAAAAAGTACACCCAACTTACATATTCTGAAAACTAAATACCTGATCGTTGCTAATTATTTAAAGGGCTCTGTTAAATATTCCCTTAATATAGTTTACATTTTTGTTGATGTTCTTGTTTCCCCCTCTCATTTTCCAGAAAGATTAAAGATACAATGTTGTTTTTCTCCTTCCATCTTTCTGTATTTGT